GTCTCTGACAACTTCTAGATCCAAAGTAACATTCCCGATTAGCTGCCTTTCTTTTAGAGAGATCGCCTGAAACCAAATTAGACTTCTTCTGATCATATGATAGGCTGAAAGGTAAAGTTCTTGAATAAGATACATTAAAAGATCAAATATTGGAATAAAAATACTAAGAAAAAAATTTGAAGGAAAAAATTTATCTTACTAGTGGTTAGGATTTTTGTTATCAGTTATGACATTTTGGGGAAGAATGATTTGAATTTGGGGCCTCCTGTCTAAGAAAGAGTGGCTACTAACTGGGCTATACCCTGACCTCCTTCCTAAAGGCTCAACTGAGTTAAGACCTGACAGAAGAATGATATGAATTCAGGACATCCTGTCTAAAAAAGAGGTGTGGCTACCAACTGGGCTATACCCTGACCTCCTTCCTAAACGCTCAACTGAGGTAAGACCTTACATTATTTTCTTTTATGCAATAATGAACAAGAATCATCCACCCTAAGAACAGAGATGTTCCCCTATATACGTTATTTTTTAAATCACATATGGGTAGAGTGCCTTCCAAAGTACCATGGCAGTGATGATTAAGTTTTGATTAAAATTTTGCAGAAAAATCCATAATCATATCTGGGAATGCTGAAAAAGGGGAAGCTTCAAACATCATAAGCCAATCCACCCGATGGTTCATTTTTGTCAACAGAACCATATTGGATTAGTGGACTTTCATCTTAAACTGCTTTATTAAAACCAACGATTTTATCCAGTAAATTCCTCAGCTAAAACCAAGCAAATTTCTTTAGTACCATTTTATTTTACCTCATTAAGCTTTGAGGAAAGCTCATCAAGCAATTCTATGCGTTTTTTGGACCTCTCCAATGCTTCCATGACCTTTTTCTTCTGAAAGAGTAGTTCCCTTGCATCATCTTCCTTCCCAGTTTGGACATTAATTGCTGCTTGCCTTTTAAGATTCTCAGCTGTCTCTGACAGTCGAAGAAGCCTCAATCTTGCATTGTTTGCTAAGCCAACAACCATGAATAACTATCATAAGGTGCAGCAATTAACCAACAGGGAATTCAACCTTACACTAAAAGCACATTGGAACAGAAAAAGATTAAGTAAATAGAGGACCAAGAAAGAAAATTGTAACTCAGCAAAAACACTAGGCCAACAATACACTATCCTATCATCAACAATGAACAAACAACCCATCAAATATTGGATAGAAAGCAACTTCATAACCTAATAAAAAGCATATAGCTATAAACATAACCAAATTTCTGCACTAAGCAGAAAATCTAATCATATTATTGATTCACAACAGGCTTCATACAAATTCTCTAGAAATAATAACTTCCAATAACAAAAGAAAACAAACACAAGACAATAACTTGCAATGGATTCAGGATAAAAATGTGGTTTTTCATTCATAAAGGCAAAAGGGTATGCCCAAAACTATGGAAGACACCAAAACAGGTGTATTGTGTAGTTATATTTATCTACCTTTGCCTCTGGCGCTCTCAGCCTCAGAATGGAGCTGAACGAGTTGAACACGTAGCTGCTCGGTGTCGACCTTGGAATCCAAGCACATGGGTCTCCTCCATAAAGTTCTACGAGGGACAGCCATGGCTGTGCCACCACCAATCTTCAACAACGTCGTCTCTCTCTCTCTCTCTCAGGAACTGGAAGTCAGGATGAAAGGAGGTCCACCCAAGGTGAGGCCCATAACTTATGGTCTTGAAGGGTGAAGCCCATTTTTAGATGAAAATATATGTTTCGAAATGGTAGTGGTTTGTGAAGGCCTTTATTTCTTTTGAAACGGGCTTCAAATTGTATTTGCTTGTGTCCAATGCTTCGCTTCGTGTCATAATTTTTGTTTCTTTTGTAGCGGCTCGGCTCATGGTTGTTTGTCTGTAGCAAGAGGTCTGTAGTTTAAGTGATTAAAAATATTATTCCTACAATTGAGGTCATGAGTTCAATTCATTTGAATGAATATAGCTAATGGCATGAATTGAAGTAAATTGGATTTCGTATACATGGATTATAGTTCTTTCAATCTCTCCTCGGCGTGGTTTATAAAAAACATGTTTTATTTATTAATAATGCTATTTGTACCACATTTATTGACCACGTTGCTGACCACATCTCTAATACAAGTGAGTCCTATTAATTTACGTGAGACCCACATGTATTAGAGAGGTGTTCAACAATATGGTTAGTAAAAGTGGTCCGAATAGGAACACTGCCCTTCCAAATAGTAACACTACCTTTCTGATCAAGCACAACTCTAGGCCTATACCAAATTGAAGTAAATTGGAGCCTCTAAATGTGGAAACCCTCCTTTTCTCTCTTATTTTCTAATTATGTCACATCTCTTTCGTTTCAGAGTTTTGAGTGTTTCTTCTGCTCATGGATTTGGTAGGCTGAGTCCATCATAATTTGGGCCCACGTAAAAAGGTCGTCCAAGGGCACTTGAGTGTTGAGATAGAGAGAGAGAGAGAGAGAGAGAGCCCATGATTTGATTTGACCTAAAACTAATAATAATATGACTGTCATCTCAGTTTTGCTTGCTTTGCTCCCATCCCATATATACCAACCAAGGCAATTATAAATCATGAATGTCATGAGTCAGTCAGTCAGTCAGTCATGAAAAGCTCCCGTCAACAACGCCCACCCACGCTCAATTCAACACAACAAAGTGATTTTGACAACCTCCTAATTCATTCATTCATATTTCACACCCAAATAAATGAAAAGAAAGAGAGAATATGAATTTCAATTTGGGGTGTTTTTCTAAGGTTAAAAATTATATATATGAAATTCATGTCAGCTGTGGCGACGCATGCACGCACGAGCTAAGAACTTAAGACTGCAGTCTATATCACATGCCAAATTTTTCATTTTCTTTGTCTGCTTCTTTTCTTTCTTTAATTGAACTAAATTGGTTTGTGCCTCAGTTTTCCTCTTTTATCAATTTATTATGAGTTGAACCTCCGGTTATTATGAAGGGAGCTATTTCGTTATGTACAAAAGAAAAAGCTGGCACGGCTGCAACTATATTTTCTTGGAAATTTATGATCCCCTTCAAAGTGTCAATCAATTTGTGTACTGCGTATTCATGATGATATATACTCATACCTATTTATTGCTAGACTGATGTTTATGTTGATAGATTCAACTACAATTAACTTGATTAGTAGATTCATTGTCTAGCAACATAAGCATCAGTGTGATAACATAACTTTGATCAATGGAGTGTTAGTTGAATTGACTCAGGTGTTTGGTGTGCTTTCCAAGTGGTCCTGCAAGGGCTCAAACCCTTGTGGTACCCGTGTGTGCGAGTTCCCCACCTCCTCCTTCCTAACTTTAGCAACAACAAAAAAAACATAACTTTGACTAGAGAATGTTACTCGTTTCATATAGACCACATGTTTCATAGAAAGCTTGTTGTCGCATGGAACAAGGGTATAAGGCTTTTGAAGGAAGAGTGTCTAACTAGCCCACTTCCAAAATGCAAATTGGGAAACTTTTGGTAGTACGTACTATAAGTAATCTATCTAGCTACAAGTTTCCTCCATCATTAATTTGCATTAGAGATAATGATCATGATGTTAATCAAACTGTCAAAAGAGAGAGAGAGAGAGAGAGAGAGAGAGAGAGAGAGAGAGAGAGAGAGAGAGAGAGAGAGAGAGAGAGAGAGAGAGAGAGAGAGAGAGAGAGAGAGAGAGAGAGAGAGAGAGAGAGAGAGAGAGAGAGAGAGAGAGAGAGAGAGAGAGAGAGAGAGAGAGAGAGAGAGAGAGAGAGAGAGAGAGAGAGAGAGAGAGAGAGAGAGAGAGAGAGAGAGAGAGAGAGAGAGAGAGAGAGAGAGAGAGAGAGAGAGAGAGAGAGAGAGAGAGAGAGAGAGAGAGAGAGAGAGAGAGAGAGAGAGAGAGAGAGAGAGAGAGAGAGAGAGAGAGAGAGAGAGAGAGAGAGAGAGAGAGAGAGAGAGAGAGAGAGAGAGAGAGAGAGAGAGAGAGAGAGAGAGAGAGAGAGAGAGAGAGAGAGAGAGAGAGAGAGAGAGAGAGAGAGAGAGAGAGAGAGAGAGAGAGAGAGAGAGAGAGAGAGAGAGAGAGAGAGAGGAGCTAGGATGCATGTATGAGCGCTGCTGATATGAACAAAATGTCTCAGTCTGTGAATTATGCCGGATTTTTGGGGTTAATGTTTGACTTGTAGCTATTAATATGATTATATGACATCTGATTTGATCTGTAATATTATAACAACAGATGACAAAGCAAGGTATTCATTCACATATGCCTACTTTATTAGGTATAATTTTGCGTACGAAACAAACTAAATTCTTTTATCCTGGTGGTGCTCTACACAGAAACTCCATTCGCACTTCACAAGAGTTCACTTTTTCTTTTGCTTTGTAAATTTTCTTCTCGAAAGTTCACGTTTTAGTATGACTAAAGCATCCAATCTGCATTCTTCTACATGTAGATATGTATGTCTTGAATCAAGTATAATTTAATTATTTTTCATGTATAGCTAGTGCTCCTTCAAACACCTAAGCCAAATTATATATATATATGAAAATTCTCCTATGCGAACATTCGGATGTTATTGTTATGCATACGTTGTATATTTTGTATTGCCCCTATTTGTTTTCTTCTTATTTACTATGGCATCCATACTGTAATAACGTGCTGACATCCAAATAAGATTATATATATTATGCGGACATCTGGACGTTATTATTGTACGGACGCCGTGTATTTTGTACTACCCCTCTCTGTTTT